ATCTATACTCCAACAGAACCTTTGAAAAATCCTCTTTAACCAGCTATTTTGCCAAGGCTGATGTTTTGGGTTACTTGAATGGTTTGGGTTCTTCACAGGATTACCCTTCGTGGGTGTGGGACTACATTTTGAATGTGGTTTAGTAGTACACAGACAACATCTTCAAATTGGTTAAAACCTTTTCGTCTCGAATAAGTGATTGAATACTGAAATTCACCTTTTTCAAGTGTTTGTTATGTCTTTGAGTATGTTTGGTGTTGTAATATACAATCAAAGAATTCTTTGCTTACTTAATTTATTTGCTCTGATTACATAATTTTAATCTGAATTTTCTATCTCTATTAAACCTCCGTATCTTTCTTATTCGTTACAAGAGACCTTGTATATTGGCATGTGAAATTCCTCTGTGAACTGAATTTATATGATCTACATTTGAAATCTTCAAGGGAATGGCAATGCAATTTCAATTCATCTTGTTCTTGTTTGGGTTACTATGTCTTTTTTTTGTGCACTTAGTTTGCATTTTGTTTCCCGTTTATTTAAATTTGCATTGATGTGTTGGGTGAGAAGACATATCATCTTCTTAGATTGATTGTCTTGAAGTAAAATTTACATTATTTTCAATAGTTATGAAGTAAAATTTACATTATGTTCTATGACTACAAAGTTGTACTTTCAAAATAAATCAAAAGAGGTAAATTTAAATTTTTAATAAATAACTACACCCAAAAAACATATCAATTGATTCAAGTCCAAACATATTTACCCGTGAATGCATAGGCTTTTATAATGAACTTCTTATCATAGCAACAAAAATACTTTATTGAGTAGTTAAAAGAGTGTATAACAATAACGTATTCGTCATAACAATCACGACAAGGCTGCCGACAAAACACACTAAATTTTATTCGTCGGATAAAGGGGAGCTATATCTCCTAGTTTTATCTAATTACAAACATCACACTTGAAAATTCACACAAGCGCGCGTGCACACGAACACATATATTTAGATCATACATGGTTGCTACATTTCAAGAATGGCCGAGTCCAGGATCGCCTGTACCACATTGACTTATGCAGTGAAAGGCACATTCTCTAGAGCATTCAAAATGTGATTTTTGTTAGATAGGGTAAAAGTTTGTAATGCAGTCGCTCATGCAGCTTTCTTCCAACTTTGTAACTTTTCCAGCCCGGTCCGGCACCGCGGACACTGTCAGCAACATAAACATAAGAAGCAATGCAGTGATCATGACCTTGCTGCTGCTCCCGCGGTACATGGTGGCGGTGTTGACCATCATGGCTGCCATTCTCTCTCTCTGAAGCTATCAGGTAGTAGTATTGTAGTAGTTCTATGTAAGGCAAAAGGTGCATTGTCTTTATTTATAGTGGGAGAAGAGAGATCTAAGTGTTAATAAGGGTTGGAAGCGGCTACGTTGCGTGATTATTGATACAGTTAACATCAATAATTACAGTATATGACAGTGTCGTGCATTTTTTCCTCTAAGTTGGATGTAGCTAGTCCTTGTATAAGCTGCTACAAATGTGTCTAACGGATAGAGGAAAAAAAAAAAGCAATCAATGGTATTAGTTTATCCGATCAAGGAATAAGGATTAATTTGGTGCAAATAAGGAATAAGAATGTTTGAATGAATATTGATATGATTTTTTAAAATATATGGGCCTCAACTATCTCTTTTTTTCAATTAATTAATTAATTAATTTTTTTACGTTAGTCTATGGACTCCACCTCTATTTTCATTCAATATGCACAATAAAAGTTATTAAAAATGACATTGCACAGTAACTAATAATTATTAAAAATATGTGAATCCCTTATACAGTACTTGACTATAAATAAAACATGTAACAGGTGGATCTTACCTTTTTCTTTTACTAGCAATGCACAACGTGTGTCGCACGTAAATAAATTTAAATAATATTATTTTTATATAAAATATAAATTATATATGTAATTAAATTAAATAATAAATAAGGTGTCAAATAATTAATTCATATTTTAATTATTACTAAATTTAATTATTAATTTATTCTATAAGTTTTTGAGCAACTAATCTATCATTTATTTAGGTATATGTTAGACCATTTTAAATATTTACATATCTAATTATATTATAGAATTAATAAATTTTATTTTGTTAAAAAGACTGATTAGATCACTCTTATAATATAATAATTTGTTACGTATCAAAAAATAAAATATTACATATATTTGACTATAGATTATTTAGATATAAATAACTATATCTAAATGTATTACTAATAAATGAATTCAAAATAATTTAGAAGTCCTTATAAAAGAATATAAAATAAGTTAAAAATTAAATATGTGTGAAAAACAAAAATTTATAGGAGGATTTATTTGACCTTTTTATAATAATTAGGGATAAAATAATAAATTAAAATTTTTTCACAAATACTGATATTTATAAGTAGTATAAATAATATTGGAATGCAAAAAATTATTAAAAGCCTACGACGGACCCACTCTCTTTTACCGATCTATCGCAAACAAATGGATTGCAAAAGTTGTCTTACAAGTAATGGAGGAGACGACCACCGAATGGGCTTGTTAGTGGGCTAATGAACGAATTTTTTAGCGAAAATTAGGACTAAATCCTCTTAGTGATAAGTTTGTTTTTGGAGTAATGATATGTATCCCAAATTTATAATCCAAATTTACATCTCAAATTCAAGAGGATCATTGGATTAGTGGTCCCATTTTAAAAAGTTGATGGAACCCACTTATCCAATGGTCCTCCTTGATTTGAGATACAAATTTGGGTTACAAATTTGAGATACATAGCACTACTCCTATTTTTTCTCTTATTACTAAGTACTTAAATCTACTATTTTTTTAAATCCCAAAAATACTCTGCCTTAAAAGGAGGTTAAAGATACATAGCACTACTCCTATTGTTATCCCTTTATTCAATGTCAATTAATATATGTCAATAAAATTTACATTATAAATTTAAAATTCAATCTCTCTCTCTCTTTAGTGGCGTTGTTTCATCAATGTTCATCTTTTAATTTTCTAGGAGTTATGTCCATTTTATTGGTAATGGATGAGAATCTCTGGTCTTTATTATTAATTTTTTGTTTTTTGTAATTTGTAGTATTTTTCGTGGGAGTTGATTTGTTAAATTGAATGTTTCATTATATTATTTTTTTTACTATATTATTATTCATGTGTTCTGTTTTTGTTGAGTATATTACTGTACATATTACTATTATTTTGATCATGTTACTATTTTTGTTAAGTTTGTTACTACTATTATTTTTCCTAAATATTAATATTCAATGTTAGTATTTTTTTTTTTTGAATATTACTATTTTTTGTGTTTGAATAATATTATTTTTTGCGTTTGAATTTGAGAGAAATAATTATATTTAGTATGTTACTGTTTTTGTTAAGCATGTTACTATTTTTGTTGAATATATTACTATTATTATTTTTTTAAAATATTAATATTAAATGTTACTATTTTTTTATATTTAAATGTTACTATTTTTTGTGTTTAAATGATATTATTTTTTGTCTGTTATTAATCAATCTATCTATACTATTTCTAAATGCAAATAAAAGTGAAAATTTTTTGTTTGACCAAACTAACTTTAACAAAAATAATTAATGTCTATTATATTTTTTTGGAGTTAATAGCATTATTAAATTATAAGTAGATTATTTTTCCTTTTTACCCTTGGCCAAATATACAAATACTACAATGTCCCCCAACACTATCCGTTTTGAACTAAAAAGTCAGCTAGAGTACTATTACTCAGAATCCTTCGATGGGGATGATATGGTTCGACTCACTGCTATGCCCTTTGATTTGCATTGTGTAATAACTGATTTGTTGTGAAGTGTCCCATATTCTCACTCTCACATATGCAACTAATAAAAATAGGGTCACACATTATGGATTTTAGTAATAATTACTCCATCCGTTCTTAAATATCTGTCGTTTTACATAATTTTTTTTGTTCCGTAATATCGTCGTTTAATAAAGCCAAAATATAATTAATATTTTTTCTTTCAAATTTATCCTTAACTTTTTAATGCATTGGATAAATAGAGACTAAGTGCCTTTCATATTATTTTATTTTTCAGTACGTATTAAAATAGTTGCCATAACAAGGACTCGAGCAGGTCAATTCTAAAATCAAAATCTCAGGTAAAAGGAATTATGGTTTCATTCATTTCGGTTATTCTTTGTTTTAATTGCTGTGCTAAGTTTATCTTCTTGCATGTAAAGAATTGCCTTCGTAAAGCTTGGTTGGTGCCAAAGTGTCAGATGCAATGTTTTGATGGAAACAAAAAAAATTTGTTTAAATATGAACTAAAAAATATTGTTGTCGTTTGAGAAAGCATGGAAGATTGTCATGCAGATGTGCTCTAAAAGCTAGGAGGAGGAGGTTGGAAATCAAATGATTGGGTATCCTACATTATTTAACCACAGAAACTAGTATAAAACTATGGTGTACTCTTCCTAGAAAAGCGTGGGAATGTGATGTTATACTAAGTATCATTAGCCGGTAAAGATTTAACGCTTATAATAGTAGTGGAAATTATTGTTATTGTAATCGTTATTGGAGTTATGCAAAGTAGCTTAGTATGTTGAGTTGCTTTTTTTTTTTTTCTTCCCTTCTCTTTTAATTTTATGTGCCATAAATTTTTTGATTCCGATGAAAAATGAGATAAAATCAATGTCGTGTCTCCGTGTGAGAGGGTTTTATTTTGGGATTTTAGGGTTTGGCTATTTGATGGTGCGCTTCACAACGGCAGAATCGACCTAGGCTTCGTTCTCTCCTCCTACAGAGCTCTGTTCTTGGAATAAGAATTATTCTTTGGAATCATCTCTCTCTCTCTCTCTGTAAATTTCCTCTTCTCTCTTTAAATTTGCTCCTCTCTCCGGTTAGATTCTCTTTTATGTATAAATTAGTTCAACAACATCTTGGCTTCTCCGTTGCCAGAGACGATGGTGAGTACCGTCATCAAGATCGATGGTCAAGAACCAAACGACCTTCTTGACGATCTATCGGCCCAAGAACAAGTGGGTTTTTCATGTGATTCGCCTTTAATTTCTATAATTTTTGTCGATTCTTAAACTTCTTTGACCAGATCTTGATTGGTTTCCGAGAAAATTAACTGAGAATTCTTATCTTGTCCAATTTCTGTTGTTGCATTCTCTCCTAGAGCGCTCTTTTATTTGAATACGAAATATTCTTTGGAATCGATATTTCTCTCTGTAGATTTTCTATTCTCTCTCCGATTAAATTATCTTTACGTATATTACTTCGACAACCTCTGAGCTTCTCTTTTCTTCTTCGGTGCCATAGACGATGAGTACCGTCATCAAGATCGATGGTGAAGAACCAACCGACCTTCTTCACGATCTATCGGCCCAAGAACAGGTGGGTTTCGTCTGATTTTGTCCATTTTTGAACTTGTTGGACCAGATATTGATTGGTTTCCGAGAAAATTAACGGAGAATTCTCATGTTGTCCAATTTCTGTTGTTTCAATTCACTGAGGTACCATTATTTTTTATATCTGCTGCTGCATTTTCTCCTGGAAGGCTCTTTTCTTCTTTGGAAACGATATTTCTCTCTTTAGATTTTCTATTCTCTCTCCGATTAATTCTCTTTATGTAGATTACTTTCGACAACTTCTTAGCTTCTCTTTTCTTCTCCGGTGCCGTAGACAATGAATACCATCGCCAAGATCGATGGTCAACAACCAACCTACCTTCTTGACAATCTATCTGGCCAAGAGCAAGTGGGTTTCTTTTGATTCCGCTTTAATTTCAATATTTTGTGCATTCTTCAACTTCTTGGACTAGATCTTGCTTGGTTGCCGAGAAATTTGACCAAAAATTACGCAAATATCTTAATATTATCCAATCATTATTATTTATTTCTATTGTTTCAATTCACCGAGGGATCATTGGCAGAATGTAAAGTATTGGTGGTGAGGTTATTTGTTGGTTCTAATCTAAGGCGTCATTCTGTGAATATGATGTCAAAATAATAACTGAATCAAACTGCTATTGATGAATTTTTGTTTTCAATTCATAAACCTGATAGGTTTGTGAGTCAAGTACTTGTATTGGGTTCAATCTAATGGATTACTTTATCCTTTTTTGGAGTTTTCTCATACTTCTTGAACATGTTCTTCAAATTTCTTGGCAACCAAATGGAGTATTAAGTCATATATTTTGTTTATTTTTATTTTTTGTTTCATAGCACTTTGGTCAATCCTTTTTCTTTTGCCAAGAAAATCAATAGTGCAAGAAAATGTTGATTCTTCACTTTTGTTTAACACAATTGGTTGTATTTAAATAAAATCTAGCAATTATGTGCATTAGGTTTTGTGTGGTTCTTTGTTTTCTCAGGTCTTGATTACTGTAAATATTTTGGATTTTGGAGGCTTTTTGGCAACTGGGAAGTGGGTCTTGTTTGTTTTGTTTAATTGTATTTGTAACTGAGTTGATATAATTGACTTGGGTTTGTGTTTTTTGGAGTGAATTGCAGATTGCAGTGGAGCTTCCTCAAGTGGACTTTGAGGATGGTCATCATGGGTTTTGTGCCATCTGTTTGTGTAAGATAGTTCTTCAAGAAACTGCCCTTGTAAAAGGTTGCGAGCATGCCTACTGGTTTGTCTAACTCCCTGGTTATCTACTATTTCTTGGACTATAATTATATGTATACTTATTTAGCTTGATTGGGGATACCTGGCCTCATACTGTTACTTGGTTGTGGACACATTGGTCAGGCTTATATCTCATGATACCGCAAAATTTATAAGCCGTTTTCTTTCACTCATACAATAATCTGGTTTAGTTCATCAGCTTGAATGATATTAGAAGTTCAACAAGATGCTAAGGAAATTTTTTGGGTTCTTTTCTAGTTAGTTTGAGGTTTTCTGATTAGTTAGTATGGTAAAAATACAAGACAAAATTTTGTATGTACTTAAAAGTGTGTTAAGTCTAAACTAAATAACCAAATTTGAAGTGTTTGGTGTTGAAAATAATGTTGCAGTACTAGTCACAGAATGCAATGTTTTTTTGTGTTGTAATATTACTACCGGGTGAACTGTGAAGTGTCATTGTATCTTTGTAATGATATTTGTAGTGAAACCTAGGTCTTTAGTTGATATGCTTCAAATATGTTCAAGTTGTCACATTGTGTGAATACAGTTAACTGTTGGATTTTTTTGCCAAAATTGATTGTTTTAAAATTCAAAGTTGCATTGGGTGTGCTCTTTCCAGTACCCAACACAATTATAGTGGCCTTACGGGGTCTAAGTTAATGGTTTATAGTATTGTTCAAATCCTGTCATTGACATTGACTTCGAATTACAGGATTTGATGTCAAGTTCATCTATTTGTTGGAGTTGTTTAGCAATCTATAGAATAGTTTCAGGTTTCACTTCATTTTCTTGTCTAGCTTGCTAGAAAATTAATGCGAGTTGGCCTAGCCCCATAATCCAATCCTTATTATTCTATTTATGCTTGAAAAATCTGACCATTTATTGCTAGTTTGGGCTATCATTGGTGTTGGAATTGTACTAACAGAGCAAAATTGTGTTTAGGGATGGGGGTTGGTCGAGGGGGGGAGTGGGGGAAGTAGTGTTGAGAGTGTGCTTGCTGTATGGTAGATGATATTTTTCCCATTGTTGAACAAAACAATTCAGAACTTAATTGATAATGAGTGGAGGGTTTTTTT